GAAGCAAGAAGAACTGGACTTGGCAAACCTCTGCCTGCCAGGGAGCTCACTCAGCTCTGTATTCCTGGCCGTGTGGACAGAGCGGGGATCTGCGATGACACAGGGCTGGAAGGCAGGGCGGGCCGCGTAGGAGCTGCGGGAGACGGGGACAGCCCCGTCCGCCCCTCTGCCCAGGGCTTGTGTATTGGCTGCCGCACAAACTTGCCACCCACACGTAGAGCTTTTGAATCCCACCCCGCACTTAGCACCCAGAATCGGCGGTGTGAAGGAAGTGCAAGTTGCCTGTGTTTGTTTCCTTCTGGATGTAAGCGAAGTGTCTGAGAGAAGGGAACCCGATGTCCATGAAGTGGAGCTATTTCCATCTCTCCCTCGTGGGCGTGGCTGCCTCTCCTCTCGCCTTCCTCACGCTCTGGAAGACCCCGGGACCTCAGGGCTATGTGGCTGGGAACTGATAGCCCAGTTCTCTCAGCCCTTATCTCCACCCTGTCCCCCCAGGCCTGGTGCCCACTTGAAGCCCAGCTGCCTGCAGAGGGCACTGGCAGAGCCCCTGTTGCTGTCTTCCCCTGGAGCTGCACAGTCTGGCTGAGGCTCAGGCACCCGAGACGTTGCTGATCAGAACGACCTCATATCCCCGTGCTGCAGCTGGTGGGTTCTCTGGATGTGGCCTCCAGGCCCCGTCCACCTTGGGGTCGAGGCAGGGCTTGTCATCTTGCGGGCAGCCACACGGTCGCCTGGTCCCCCAGAGTCCAAGAAGGGGCCAGGAGTCTGCATTTTTATGACCTGTCCAGGGAATGCTGACATCTCAAGTTGACAACCATGCCTCTGCTGCCCCCCCCACTTCATAATTTAGAGCTTTTAAGATGTGTTTGATTAGTAGCGCATACCTGTAAGCCCAGGACTCTGAGGCTGAGGCAGGAAGCTCACTGAAAGTTTGGGGCTAGTCTGGGCTACATAGTGAGATCCTGTCTTAAAAAAAAACCCAAACTAACCCAAATCAAAACAAAGAACACTTGATTGGCCTGGTTTCCAGAAAATTCTGGGGACTGTCCAAAGCTACCTGTAATTCTCTGAACCTAAACCCTCAGCGGAGCTAGGCTGTCATTGGTCACGCAGGGGAGGACACAGCCCGGGGCCCGGGGGCCACTGAGGGAGGCGCTGCGTGGCTGAACCTCTGGCAGCATCTTTCTGCTGCATTGACGGGGCCACTTCCAGGGTTCCCCATTCACTGCTCCCCTGCCTAGAGGACAGCACTCCAGACCAGTCTGACAGTGTCCCTCCCTTTTCTCTGATGACAGACAGGTCCCCGGCCACTTCCGAGGCCTCAGTGGCCCCTGCTGTAGGGTGAGGTGGCCTGAGAGGGCCAGGGGTCCTTTCCAGCTCTGGGGCTTGGGGGTATGTGCTACACACGGGGTCTCTCCTGGGCCCCCTCGAGTGTGACCTCCTCGGTCCCTTCCCAGGAAGCAGAGAACAAAGCAAGGTGAGGCCCCTCGTTGTGTGACATCCAGCCAGGCTGTAGCAGCCAGGCTAAGGGAGAGGAGAGTGGGGGTTTTGGGGGGCACCATGGGTGTGGGGTGACATCTCTGCAGACGTCTGTTTCCTCTCACACCTGTTCACTTCCACACACCAAGGTCCCCGAGTGGGGTAGACAGTTCCTGGCTTTGTAGCTTTGCTTTGGGGTGGAGGGCACCCTGCTTCTCTCCAGTGTGTTTCCCCAGCTGCCTGCCCCCTCAGAGAGAACCTGCCCTGCATCCTGAGTGACCTCGGGCGAGGGTCCCCTGGCTCTGGGACTTCTGGTCCTGGGGCTAAAGCTGTTATCTCAACCCCACGCTGACTTCCACGGCCCGGGAGGACGGAGCCTGCAAACAGTAGCCCTGACACAGGTCCCCAGTAGCCACCAGAGCGGGAGACAGCGGCCAGGATGACAGACGACGTGGAGGGCCGGGGTGGGGCAAAGACCGACCCCTCCCCCAAACAGCCAGTGTCCAGAGGAGAGTATGATGACTATGTGACCGAGTAGGAGCTTTGAGTCCTGGCTGGTGACCCTGGGCCAGTCAGACCGTCTCTGGGCCTCAGTTTCCCTGTTGCGCAATGTCAGATGCACCGACTGACCACTGCCCCTGCCCTTTCTCGTGGACTGCATTCGTCAGACTCCTACAACAATCCGATTCCCTTCTCAGCGCCATCTCCTCGGGACCTCCCTGGGGGCCCCCTGAGAATCAACTGCTCCCCCGTAGGCTCCAACGGCGCCTGTCCCCGCTTTTCTTGCTCCAGACCTTCTCCCAGGCCACAGTGGCCAACCTGGCCTGGGGCCTGGAAGCCCTGGAGATGACCGCTCTTTCGCTCCTGGCCCTCACGTGGCCCCTGGCACACAGGCTCTCTGGGAATGAGTGAGGCGCAGACCTTCCCGAGGGTCGTTGTGCCTCAGTACTGCTCACTTCCTGTTCAGCACCCCTGAGGACAGGACTGGGGACTTGGTGCGTCTTCCCTGCTACTTGCTCCCTGAGGTGCATGGTGGGGACTCCTGCGGGGCTTCCAGGGTTGAATAGGATCTGTGTGTCCTGCTTGTCCAGACTGTTGGGCTCCAGGCATGGCTGAGCCTCAGAGGGACCTCAGAGCTCAGGCCATGGGCCCGATCCCCTGGCGAGGCCATCCATACTCGCTCGAAGCTTCCTGAGGGCGGCAGCCCAGGGCCAGTAGAGGCAGTGTGGGCTCTGGAGTCAGGCAGACCTGAGTTTGAATCTTGCCTCTGTTTCTCCCTCATGTTACCTTGGCAACGGCTTCCTCTTCTGCCTGGAAGGTTGCTGCCATGTTTACAGGGTGACATTTGCAGATCATTTGAGGCCCAGGTCTGCCCTCCCTCTTGGTGGAAGAGGGATCTGTCTTTTCTCCTGGGGGCACTGCAGAGGCACAGGAACTTCCTCCCCATTGTGTCCACATGCCCCATGAGGCTTCTGGGAGCTACCCAGCGCCCAGGGAGAGCTGGTGCACAGGAAGATGGGCTTGAGGGGCCCCAAGGAACCTGCTCCTGGGCCTTCTTTGATAGAGGCTGGGCACCTGGGTTCTGGGCACTCGGGTGTCTGTCCGACCATCTGTGTGATGCCACCTGCCTTGTCTGTAGCCAGGGGCCTGGCAAAAGTCTGGGAAGCCTTTCCCACACCGTGAACAGCCGCACAGACACGGAGCCCATCACAGGGTACTAGGCGCACCGTTCTCCTAAAGAAATGTTGAGAAATTAAGAGACCTGCACCCTCGCTTGCAAAAACTTTATTTTTTTAACAGCAGGGAAAAAATGGAGAGAAGGTTAAAAGGAAGGAAAAAGAAGACCGGAGCCAACAGCGCGGCGCCGTCAGCCAACTGAAGGGAAGGAGTGCGAAGCGGGGGTTTCCTTCCAAGGGTGCTGGCGGAGCCGGGAGGAGCTGCTGCCAGCCCTGCCGGCCTGCGGCCAAGGCCTCCCTGGGGCCAGAGCCTTGTGCCCTGGAGGCCCGCGTCTCCCAGTGGGCACAAGAGCCTGGCTCTTCCCGTCCCTGGCCGTGCTGGGGTCAGCGTGCTGGGGCCTGGCTGGGGCCCCTCTCCTGCTCCAAGGGACGGAGAGAAGGGAGGGGACAAGCCCCTGCTGGGCGTCTCATTCTGAGGCTTAACACACACAGTCCCTGGTGGTGACAGCGCCAGGGCTGGGGTGGGGCCGGGGGAGCCTGGGGGTGTCTCGGGGGGAGCTGGGGGCCGGGGCCTGGAGGGGGTGGTTCTTGCGCCCTGCTCCTCCCTGCAGAGCTGGCCCACTTTTCCTGGCTCCAGCCCTTATTTATTCCTCGGACCAGTGTCTCTTTCCCTTCCCTATTTCCTGCCTCTCTCAGCTGCCCTCCAGCCGGGTCCCAGCTGTCCGGCTTCCCCGGCCCCGCAGCTCCCTCTGCGGTGGTCACACTTCGCTCCCTGGTTGGCTGAGGAGCCCCGGCCGCTGGCACAGGCCCTGGGCACCTTCCTCAGGGTGCGGCGGGTCAGGAAGTCCTGCAAGCCGCGCAAGCCCGGAGCAGGAGGGAGGAGGGGTGGCACAGGCCCGCGCTCTGCCTGGGGGCCGACACCGCCTGCTCCTGGCAGCCACAGAGCCTGGCAAGTGGCTGGCGGTGGGACTGACCTCACCGCCTTCCCGCAGTGTAAAGGGACAAGCGGCTGCAGGGGACGGGCGGGCCGCACGCACCCTGGAGAGGAAAGGTCAGAGACCTTCTGGTACCTCCGGTACCAGCGCCTGTACTGCACAAATGGGGAAACTGAGGCCCAGAGAGGCGAGGGCGCTGGTCGAGAGGCGAGCCTGGCCTGGCTCCCAGCCCCGTGTGGATGGCCCTGCTTCCTGTCAAGCGAAGCCAGGCCTGCTCACGACCAAGGGACCAGAGGTGTGACTGGTGACCAGCTGTTGGTGAAGCGGGTACATTTTCTCAAAGGGAAACACCAGAAGTCTGGCGCAGTCGGCTGTGCCTCCCTGTGCCCGAGGTCCCTGTCCCTGGCTCCCTGAGCTCCACCAGAGGGGATGTTTCTGGTGGGGTCTCATCACTTCCGTGAGGAGTGAGACACTGGGACTCGGGTTAAGCACAGGGAATGCTTGGTGGAGGGAGGGAGGGAGGGTGAGCCTGTGCGGGGGAGGTGCTCCAGCGCCCCCGCCCACCCCCACATGCCTGGCACCTCCCCCCATGCAACCGAGCATCCCCGTCTGGACCACACGTTGTCATCAGCAGCAGAGCAAGTGACAAGAAGGCCACGTACAGTGGGCCCCGGAGCCACTGGGCAGGCTGTTTCCCTCCGGAGCCCGACGTTGGTGTGCAGCAGGGCGCGGTGGGAGGAGACCAGTGTGGGGCACAGGCCTCGGGCGGGATGCCTTCCTCTCTGTCCCTCTGTCCCTCCGTTCTCTGCTTCACTCCCGGGGGGACATCCGACCACCCGCAGCCTGGCACAGCTGGCCATTCCCACGCCTGTCCACGGCGGGACAGGAGAAAACAAGATAAAGCCTGGGCTGGGCTGTCGCTCTTCATTTTCCTGAAGGAACCCAGCGCCCTCCTGCGCAGAGCTGCGCTTTCCTGGGGGTCCGGGCCGGGCCCCTCTTAAGATGAAGACTGCTTTCTACCGTCACGACTCTGGTTGCTGGTTTTCCTCAAGCTAACAGCTGGTGTGCAGCTGGCTGTCTGCTGGCCGGGTTCTGGGCGGACGGACGGGACGCTCCACGGAAGCCATGGGGTCCCAGCCCCAGAACCACCAGCAGCCCCCCACCGCCCCCTCCTGACGCGCGTGCATGCCATGTGCATGCTGGCGGGTGAGTGACACGCACCACACTCGTGTGTGGTGACCGGGGGACCACCCAGTCCTGCAGCCCTGGCCCGCCACACGCAGGCTGGGCTCTCCCCAGGCACACGCTTGTTTGTCCTAGCACTCCGAAGGCCACGTGCTGCATGGCAGGAAGTGTGGGGTGCCTCCGCAGGCTCCGTTTGCACGGGGAGAGGAGGGAGACGGACTCTAGGGTGTGACAGAAGGTGACGTGGGGGCGGAACCATTACAGCCCGTCGAACTTCCCTGCGCAGGATGCTTCTGGAAACAGCCCCTGCCATGCCCTTCAGGGTCCCTCTCACAGGGCGGCTGAGTCCCCCCAACAGCTGCTGCCTGGACCTGGCTGTGACCTGCCACCCTCCTGCCCAAAGGCCATTTACCTTCACAGAAACACGGCTCCCCAGGCACACAGCCTGGGCAGCGGGGGCGGGGCGGCCCTGGTGTCCTCTGAGTCCGTCCTTCTACCCAGTGAGGAAGTGGAGATGTGCTCTGGGACCCCGTTATACCCCAGGGCCGCCTCCTTCTCAGCCACGTGGGGACGCCCGGGGCTGTGGCCTCATCTGGCGGCCAGCGGGTCCCCCAGGCCCCTTCTCCACGTCGTCCTCACCCTTTCATCTCAGGCAGCCCTGCGTGGGCACTGGGCCTCCGTGTCACACCGTGTCTTACTCGCTGAGACTTGTGGACAGGCAGAGAGAGGGGGGACTGAGGCTGAGTGTGAGTGGCAGGCCACGCTCTGGGGGCACAACATGACCCGGGAATTAGAGCGCAGTGTTTTAGGCCCAGTGCGCCCAGGTGGCGGGGGGCAGGAAGCCCTGTCGTGCATCCAGCTCTCCCGGCGTGGAGGCCACGGGTCGTGACGCCCCTTTACGGGGCAGCGGGAGAGGAAAGAAGCTGCCTCTGCAGTCTTCCTGCCACCACCCCTGGCTGGGAGAGCAGAGCAGGGTGTGCCCACCCAGCCTGGCCCCGGGGGGACTGAGGGCGGCAGTGGCTGCTCGGCTGACCGCCCTCCTCTGTGCCCGGAAGCCTGAGGGCACAAAGACTGGCGGCCTTCCCAGAAAACAGCTCGCTGCCTGCCTGTCCTGTCCTTGAGTGAGGCCAGCTCTGTCCCACGACAGGAGCCGGGCCGTGGGTGGCGGGCGGCAGGCCTTCCTCCTCCTCTGAGGCCTGGGAAGGCTTCCAAGCCAGTCCGCAGGCCCGGTCCCCAGGAGCCTATTCCCAGGCGCCTGTCCACAGCACCTAGGTTCCCCGGGGCTGCGTGTGGCTGCGTTCAGCTCCTGTGTCCTGAGAGCTCAAAGGAAGGACTTTGTTTTCAGGGAGGAGGACAGCGGGGGCCACCTCCCCCTCCTGGGAGAGGGGAGCTCCCAAATGGCCTCTCTCCAGGGTCCCTGGCCGGGCAGGGGTGCGGGTCTGGAGCCTGCCGGCTTGCGGCTTGCATGGGTTCTGTTGGCAGGGCTGCAGCCCCTGCCACGGAGCCGCGTGGGAGGGTAGCTCAGGGGGACTTTCTGTACCCACACTGCGGGCGCCTCGCTCCCCTGGGGGATGGAGGGAGGGCCCAGGCCTGCTGCAGGGGGAAGGCTGGCCTGCCAGGTGTGGCCGGAGAAGGCAGGAGAGCCGCCAGCAGGCACAGAGGCTTGAATCAGGCTGCCGAGGGGCCCTTGGGTTCTAGCTGGGCGGGGGGCGAAAGGAGAAGCAGTCTGTCCTGGAGGTAGCGCGGTGCGTGCCAGCAGGCAGGGCGCGGAGGTGGGCGGGAGGGGTCGTTTCTCCCTCCAAGCAGATCTGAGCACCGTACACTAAAGAAACAAAGCAAACAAAAGGGAAAGGGTGGTTTCTAGTTTCCGGTCTCACTCTGCCATAGCCTAGTGGGCAGCGACAGACTCATTGCTTTCGCCTGCAAAGTGGGTGTTAAAAGTGCACCCCATGCAGCAATCCCCGAGATGTCCCTGGAGCCCTGTGTGAGGCTTCCCCGCTGTGCGGTGCAGCAGGATGACGCTGCGGTGGCAGCCCCCTGGGCGCCCAGCAGGGGGCGCGCCGGCGCTTCCGAATCGGGTCCCGGCTGCAGAGGGCGGAGCGCGCCGTCCCCGCCAGTCCCTATCCTCGCCGGGGACCTCGCGACCCCGCGAGGCCGGGCCCCGCCCCCGGCGCTGGCGACTCTCGCCTGGCTGCCGGGAAGGGTGGGGCCGCCAGACGCAGCGAGCCGGGTGACCCAGGGTCCGGAAACTCTCCAAGACGGGACCTGGGCGCGCATCCGGCGGGGGCTGGGGCTGGCGGGGGACACAGGACGCTCCAAGGGCCTGTTTGTCCTGCGCCGGGATCACAGGCTGTGTGTCAGCTCTGAGCGTTAGCAGGAGATTTGCACCCTTGAAAATGCTTTTCCACCCCCAGCGCGCAGGAATTCTGGATTTATTAATTAGAAAAAGAAAAAAAGCTGTCAGGCAGGATGGCGCACACCTGTAATCCCAAGGGAAGAGAAGCTGAGGCAGGAGGATCGCTGCAAATTCAAGGCCAGCGCGGATTATGTAGCAAGACCCTGTCTCAAAAACAAAAATAAAGGGGGCTGGGGATTTAGCTCAGCGGCACAGCACCTGCCTAGCAAGTGGGAGGTCGTGAGTTTGATTCCCGGTACCGGAAAAAAAACAAAATAAAAACAAATCGTTGAAGAGTGCTTGTTAGGTGCTGGGAAAATTCTTCAAAAATTTAACTAGATAATGTTTATGCCTATTTCATAAATGAGAAAACCGAGCCCCAGAAGGTGAGAGTCACTTGCCCACAGTCATCTAAGTACTTGTGTTTGAAGTCTGGATCCAAACCCGGGCAGGGCTTGCTCATTCCATACTCCGAGCTCCTACCTTTCCTACACAGCAGGGACCATCGTTTTCTCATCTCTGCAGCAGGCCTGGTCTCTGGCAGGTACCCAACATACATGGTTTGATCGAAAACTATGGTATGTAAATTAAAAACTTTACGGCAGTAAATGACACACTGCCACGAGTCGCCCTCAGAACCTTCCCCTCACTTTGAACACACTTATCCCGAGTTCTTGTCACTTCCTACAGCAGTTCTGGAGTTCTCCTTCGTGGGGGTCTTTAGCTGTGCTGTCCTGGCTGCCTCGATGTCCTGAACTGATTCAGACGTTGTCCTTTCACGGTCACTTTGACTATGGGGAAGAGCCAGAAGTTACACGGTGCCAGATCTGGTGGACAAGGTGGCTGAGGACACAGCATCTTGCTTTTAGGAGCAGCCTCCGTTGGATGGCAGTCAGCAGCAGCAGTCACTGTATTTTTGATCACACCTTGTGAAGACCTTCAGGAAAGAGGACTTCCAGAACTGCTGCAGAAAGCAGCAAGGACGACGGTATAAACCTGTTGGGAACAGGGGGCAGGACTTTGAGAGGGACTCATGGCAGTGTGTCTTTTACTATAATAATTTTTAAATGGCAACTTTCACTGTATATTTTGATCACCCCTTATAGATGTGTTGGATGGAGCCGGCTGGCATTTTCTGGGTGTCTCTTTCCCACTGTAGGAGCCCCAAGTGGGCGCCTGGGCCCAGAGCGAGCTGCCTGGCCGGTGGGGTGCAGGAGGAACCGCCTGGTTTCTCCCAGCTGTGTCCCGGCCAGCAGCGGGGCAGGAGGACACCTGTTTCCTCTGCCCACTTCGGAGGAGCCCTCCCCGCTGGCCTTGTGGCGGTGACGTGCGGCTGGAAGCGCGGCCGACTCAGAGCCCCGAGAGGCTGAGTCACACGCGCTGGCCCACGTCCTCGAGCGCCATGAGTCTGTGTCATCGCCTCAAAGGGTGCCAGGGCTAGCAGGAGAGAGAGGAGGGGGCCTCCTGGGGGCGGCGGGCGGGGGACACCAGGTCCTCAGCTCAGCGCACACCCAGGGGTGCAGCTGGGGCCTCCTCAAGCAGGCGGACGCCGGCCTGCTCTCCCCTGCCGCGCCCGGCCGCTCTGCTCTTTGGACCTCCTGAAGCTGGCCGGGAGAGGACTGTCCCTTCCGCCATCAGGTCGACCCCGCCAGGGGCCGGGCTCAATAAACTCGCACCCACCTGGGGAAAGAAAAGGGGACCCACTCAGAAGCCTTGGTGGAGGAGAGCTGGTTGTGCAGGTGCTGGAAGAAAATGAGGAGCCCATGGGGAGGCAGCCTGTCAGCCCTCCCCCTTCCCTCTTCCTTCAGTCCCATCCTGGAGACTGAGCCACGTTTCCTGCCCATGTTAATTTTGAGACAGTGAGTTCCCCAGGCTGATCTGGAACTTGCCATCCTCCTGCCTCAGCCTCCCAGACTGCTGAGACCACAGGCCATCTCCACTAGGCCCGGATGGAGATGGTGCCTCTTTCCGGAACCCAGTGAGACCTGGGACCTGGGGGAGGTTCCCCGGCAGGAGCTGGGACCCCACAGGTGTCGTGGCCACATAAAGGGAGAAGCAGAGAAACTGGTTTCTGCCCCCTCCTCCGACAGCCCCCGGCCGTGGAGATGGGGCGGACGGAGCTCACTTCCCGTAGTCTGGTGGATCGTGGAGGCGTGGCTTCCGGGGGGTTCCTTTGTTCCCACCCCTTCCTTCCTGCCGCTGCTCCGGGGTCTACTTCCGGCCTCTGCTTCCGGTCCCCATTAGCCGGGCAGTTTCGCTCCGCCAGATCCTTCCGCCATGCTGTTCCTGCCTTGGAGCCGGCTGGGCGAGCGCGGACTGTAGCCATGAAGAAACCAAACCTCTCCTTTACCTTGTGGGGGTTGGGTTTGCGTCCCCACGTGGAGAAAGTTGGGGAACAGCCCCCGAAAGGCACAGGCCCCTCCAGAGATTCCCCAGCCCTCCGTTGGTCATGCAGGGCGCGCGGTCATGCCCTCCCTCTGTCCGGGGAGAAATCAGTTTTGTAGGACCGGCTGAGTCTGGTGTTTCTCAGACGATCGGGGACCCTCCGGTGCTCACCCCACACCAGGGCTCTGGTTACATCGTCACGCTGGTCTTCAAGGGCCGAAAGAGACTTGCGGTAGCAGGAAGGACCGACCCTCAGACCCTGCACTGTCCTGGTGCCCTAGAGGAAGGGCTCCACCCTACAGGGCTTTCGAGGCTGCCCTCCCTCTATCTTCCCCTCCCTCCTCTGCCCTTCCTCCCCACCCTCCTGATGTCTGGCGCTTACTTTTCCAGGCGCTGTGTTGTCCTGGTCCTTCTGGTCCTACTGAGTCTGCCGTCCAGCGCTTTGGCGTCCCGGGCACAATCTCTGTTGAATAGTCTAGCGATGGGAGGCTCCCTACCTTTAGGACAGTTGCTGTCCCTTATGCAGGATGTCTCTGTTCCCGTTCTTCCTGCTCTCATTCCCTGGGGCTCCCTGGATAAGCTCCTTTCCTGTGTCAAGGCCCTGAAAATGCGGGGAGATGAACAGCACGCCCAGCAAAGTGTCTCTCGCCAGTGTCCCCTGGTGGAGGGGGCGCTGGTTTTCCGGGAAGGTGAAGACGGAGAGATGGGAACCCAGGGTGCTCTCAGCTGCCGGCGCGGAGGTGCAGGCCGAGGGCTGCAGGCGGCGAGGGAGGGGGCTTCGGGTCTGTGTGCGGGGTGTGGGCTGCAGGTGCGCTGTGCTCTGGCCACCTGCCCAGGACAAGCCTGTGAGCCCTGGGCTTCTGCCTGATTCATAGCCTCCTCTCTTCCTCCCAAAGGGATCCCCTTTCTAGCCCTGGTGGCCCGACCCCTGCTTCTCCACGAATGTCACGTCGGCAGACAGCTGCAGGGAGCGCAGCGGCCGCGGTTGCCAGCTGGCCGTGCGTGGTGGCCGGGCGTGGGAGCCACCGCGGGGATGTGGCCGCGCTGCGGGCTGCTCCTCCATCAGCAGGAAGCCCGGCCGCAAACACTTGGACAGGAAGCCGCGCTCCGGCCAACTGAGGGCTCCGGTTTCTTCTGCGTCTGAGGGTTTGGCCCGGAGCAGAGGGAGGCGAGCCAGGTGCTGGGGCTGCCTGCTGAGGGCTGCGGCTCCCCTCGGGCTGGGATGTGGGTTCCAGGGTGTGAGCGGAAGAGCATCACCGGGGCGCAGGAGCTGCTTCCTGCGGGAGGGGCCGGGCCGCAGCCAAGTGAGTCCAGCACGCAGGCCACGCACGCGCTCAGTCCTGCGGGTAGCTGTCCCCGTCCCCGTCCCTAGGGAAGGGCGGCTCCTTTCAGGGAGGCCTCTTGCTTAACTCACCACAAACACAGAGCGTGCTCAGCCAGGGGCAAAGGCGCTTCTTCGCGCAGCACTGATAGTTCTTGGCCTTCAATTGTTTGCACGGTGGTCTTTTCTTTTTACTGGGAGGACCATGTTTACCTCCCCGCACTTCCAGGGTCTGGACACAGGAAGTGGGGCCACCCAACAGCTACTAGCCCCCCGCCCGCCCCCGCAGGGATTACAGAGCCCCTAAGCTTTCCCAAGCTTGACCTCTGCAATGCTAGGAAGAGGACTCAGGCTGCCTTCGTGGTATGAGTGCCTGTTCCCCGTGCCCTCTGGGGCTGGCGCCGGCCTCTGGCATCCTGGGCGTCTGCCAGCGCCGCACTTGGGGAGCTCTTGCCGGCTTTACTTTCTCCCCAGCACCCTCATTGCTCTTTACTTGTGCTTTTGAATAATCCAGATTTTATTGAAGCCATGGCCTCTGGTTTTGAAGCCAGACCAGGGGCTGGCAGCTTTTCCTGGAGAGGCGTGCATAGTCCATCGCTCAGGCTTTGTGGGGCACCTGCTCCACTTTGCTAAGGTGGTGCAAAGTCAGCCAAAGACAGCATGTGAACAAGTGGGTACGGCTGTGTTCCAATAAAACTTTATTCACAACCACACATGGAGTGTTAGCCCGTGGGCGTCCGGGAGGATGGTGCGCAAGGAAGCCACTTGATTAGACCCCTTTTCAGAATCCTTCTCGTGTCAAAGAGCAGAGGTGCCTTCCAGAGCTGTCGTTAGCTGGCAGGTGACTGTGTGGCTACTAATGAAGCCGATGTGATCCCCGGCTGATGCTTGCTTTTTTTTTCTTTTTTTTTTTGTCTTTTTGAGACAGGGTCTCGCTATGCAGTTCAGACTGGCCTTGCGCTCACTTTGTAGCCCAGGCTGGCCTCAAACTCACAATGATCCTCCTGCCTCAGCCTCCCGAGTGCTGGGATTACAGGCGTGTGCCACCACGCCCGGCTATCTCCAACAGCTTTCAATGGCTCAGCCAGGGGACTCCCGCTGGGCTTCAGGGTCCAGAGGATGCAGTCTCATGTGGCTTCTCCTGGTGCTCCTGGTGACAGTTGTGACTGTCGCCATTCTAAGTGCAGACACCAGTGCTGGTTGTTCTGGGTGACTCTCCCTCTGGCCCAGGACAATCTCATCTCCTGCCCATGGCCCGGCTACCAGGTTGGTGGTGCTCCCCGGGGTTCACTGAGCTGCCCCCACCTCCCTGCATATCAGAGCTTCTTTTCTGCTTAAGTGAGATTTTTCCTTTCCTTTTCTTTGTTTTTTTTTCAGCTAGTGTCTCACTTTGTAGACACCAGGCTGTCTTTGAACTTGTGACAGTCCTCCTGTCTCAGCCTCCCAGATGCTGGGATCACAGACATGCACCACCATACCCTGTTCTTTTTCTTTAAGGAGCAAGGTCTAAAAGTACAATTCTTCACAGAGGTCAGCAGGGCTCAAAATCTGAGATAAATACAATGAAATGTTTTTCTTAAAAATAAGGAAAAGACATTTGTTTTTGCTTAAACTGTGCCACGTACAACTTCTCTGTTGCATAATTCCTGTTCCATTTTGAAGCAGTGACGTGTAGTGGGTGGAGAACGGAGTGGGAAAATTCCCCTTTATTAGGAAGGGAAATCAGATCGTCTGGCTTGTAACATGCTCGCTGGGTCGTTCGGTACCTCCTCTCGGGCTGTGAGGGAGAAACCCTGTTGGGTTGAATTTTTCTGGGGCTTGGCTTGGTCATGACAAGGTACGGGGAGAGTGGGATTGGCTTCAGAAAACTCACATACTGAAACCTTAACTCGCTGCACATCCAGATGAGTGGATTCTGGCATTGTAAAATAATCCACAGCATTGAAAAGTGAATATGAGACACACTTACATGCGGTTAGATTTACCGAGGCGCAGCCTAGCATTTGAAGCAGACTTTCCGTGGCATGAAGCAGAACAGGGGTTTTCAAGTGCAGCGCTGATTAAGATTAGGTGTGGGTTCAAACAAGGTAGAAACAGTTTCTCTGTGCTGTCACCGGCTAAGTGAAGGTGCCGGGCTGATGTTACTTCCCTAGGATCAGAAACCCCTCTCTGCTCGTTTATTCATTCACGCCGTCGGCCAGCAAGTATTGATTCACACCAGTGAGGTGAGGGTTACAGCAGACGGGGCAGGGACAGACAGGGTCGCTGCTATGCTGCTACCTGCGTGACTTCGACTTCGTGGTCCAAGGCGGCGCCACCCCTGTGCTCCAGGCAACGGGAGGGAGGAAGGGATGAAGAGGAGGAAGGCACAGGATGCACCTGTGTGGCCCCAGATGAGGTGGTGCACACCTGTGATCCCAGCGCTCTAGGAGGCTGAGGCAGGAGGATCACAAGTTCCAGCCCAGCCCCGGAAACTTAGTGACTTAGCGAGACCCCCTACCTCAAAATAAAATATAAAGTATAAAAAGGGCTGGGATGTGGCTCAGTGCAGGGTTGCATGTACCTGTATGCCATTCCTGTTTTAGGCTGCATACTGTTCCATGGCATAGACTTACCACATTCATAAACTTAAACAGTTCCAATGCAGAAGTCAGAGGAGAATGAAACTAAGTAGAGGTGTCCAGGAAATCAGTTTCTACAGAATTCAAAGTCAGCCACAGAGTCAGAAATGGGCAGAACCTTAACAGCCATGCAGGGGCTGGGGTGGAGCTCAGTTGTAGACCACTTGCTAGCATCTGCGAGGTCCTGGGTTCAATCCCCAGCACTGCAAAAACAAAACGAAACAGAAAGCCAGTTGACTCAGTGTCTTGCTGCCCCTGTGGGATCTGAGCCACTGCACAGGGTGCTGGGCAGGATTAGGCTGGGAGGACCCGGGTTGTCCTACTCTGCACCTTTGGGGCCTTCTAGCCACCCCTATGCCTCAGAACTGGGCTTTGAGGTTGCCATGGAAACAGTTGCTCTTGGCAACAGTGGAAGTTGAATAGCCTTCCCACCTAGCTAATCTCAGTCTTGGAGGACCCTGTGGGGTCTGGTGTTACTTTTGGAGAACTATGTGTTAGCTTCCCAGCACCATGCAAAATCTGACGTAATCAACTTACAGAGCCTCTCCCTTTAGCGTTGGGGAGAAAAAGACAGGACGAGAAAGGGGCTCAAGTCTGCCATCCTTTTCGAGGTGCACCACCAATTCCCTGGAGACCTCCCAAAGATTCTCCACCTCCTGGTAGCACGCCTGTCCCAGGGACCCAGCCCTAAGCACTTGTTCCTTTGGGGACACAAGGCCCAACTGTAGTGCCACGTTTGTGTGATATTCTGGACCTCTTATCAGTTGGCCTCACTGTCAGCTGCATTTCTTTTTTTCTTTTTTTTTTTTTCGTCTTTTTGAGACAGGGTCTCACTATGCAGTTCAGGCTGGCCTTGAGCTCACTTTGGAGCCCATGCTGGTCTAGAACTCTCAATGATCCTCCTGCCTCAGCCTCCCGGATGCTGGGATTACAGGCGTGCGCCACCAACCCCAGTTGTCAGCTGCATTTCTTATTCACCATCAGAAAGAATGTATTAAAACTCGCCTTGGGTGTGGTGGCGCATGCCTATGATCCTAGCACTCAGGAGGCTGAGGCAGGAGGATTGCCGTGAGTTCGAGGCCAGCCTGGGCTACATTGTGCGACCCTTTCTCAAAAAACCAAAGTAATAAAGAATAAAAATAAAAAGACTGGAGTCCAGGGCCTTGTAGCTGGAGCGGCCCCTGTGTCACCGACTCAGGCAGAGGTGCAGAGAAGAGACCTGCTCGGGGAGCCCCTCTGGCATGCAGTGCCCCGTGTGCACATGGCCTGGCTGCCTGTGGTTCTCCTGCATTCGGGGCCTTGAAAGCCGACCACAGGAGCGGGTTCTCACGCATGCTGCTACCATCCAGGACGCTGGCATGCCGTCTCTCTGCTGGGCCCTCCTTCCTCCCAAGCTCCGCAGGCTCCCTGGCTTCGGGCTTCCTGTGGGTCCAGGTGCTGAGGCTGGAGCAGGTGACGGGGCGCCTCGAGAGTGTGCGGGATGGGGTGGGGCTGCACTCGCCTATTCTGGGATTCATCTGAAACAGGAAATCTGTGGGTCCCTGGTGGTCAGAAAACAACAGCTATCTACGACCATGCTAAATATAGTGTTCCAGGGGAGAGGCCCAAGAGGCTTTGTCCTGCCCACAATGCCGGGAGGCAGCAGGCGGTGGGGACAGGGATCGTGGAAGGTGGAGGACCCTGCCTGGGCGCTGTGTCCCCTCCTGGTATCTCTCAGAGGACAGGAGTGCGTCTGGATGGGCCAGGCTCACGGAGGATGAGGTGTGTCTAGCAGCCAGAGACCCCCCACTCCTGCCAAGTAAATGAACGATTTGGGTGACGCAGCCCCCCAGAAGGGACGACTTCCTCGCCTGCCAGACCTGGGCCGGGTGGACAGCTGTGGCCCTGCCCCGGACGGCACCCTGGTCTGAGGCTCCCTGCCTGTGGGTGCGGGTGCAGCTCTGCCTCCAAACTCTGGTGGAAAAGCAGCCCAGGACCCGGCGTGGAAGATGCTGAGCCCCGCGGGGGGCGGGGGAGGACACAGGTGTCACCGTGTGGGCTCCGTCCCGGCCCCTGTGCTCAGATGCCCGGGAGGCCACGTAGCGTGACAGCCGCACAGAACTGCACCTTGCTGAGCGTGGCCACAAACGTGATTTCCTCTAGGCTGGGACTCCTGTGCTGGCTCTGACGTCCGCTGGACGGTAGGGAGCAGGTCACGTCCTTCTTGCGGCATACCAGGCGGCTGCCGCCCCCCCCCACGGGGTTTCCCGCCCCCACCCCACCTGTCACCACCTCCCTAGACCTCGTGACCATGAGGCTGCCCAGCACCAGGAAGTCAAGGCCAACCCTGCCCTGCGGGCGCTGTCACGGGGCCCTGCCTCCCAGGCACTCACCATGAGCTGGGCTCCGTGTGGTTCTGACTTGCTCCATCCCCTGTTTACGTCACCGACCCGGTGACAAACTCAGGTTCCAGGGGAGCTGTCCTGGGCCCAGCAAAGAGATAAGGAGATATTTTTGTGATGTGTTCTTTTGAGATTTTCTCCATTTACTTTACTGCTTTTTAATCAAAAATATTAAGTTTACTTTTTTTTTTTTTTGGTCAGAACTGGGGATTGAACATGTGGCCTCCACGCTGAGCTATAGCCCTAGTCATTTTTTTATTTTTTATTTTGAGACAGTCTCAGTAAGTCATTAACTTCCCCTACGCTGAATTCAAACTTGCCGTTCTCCTGCCTCAGCCTCCCAGACTGCCGGGATCACAGGCCTGTGTAAATAAATAAATAAATAAATAAATAAATAAATAAATAAATAAATAAATAATCCGATGCATTTAATAGAGGATATGTTATAAACCAGTTTTCCTTTTGAAATAAATGTAATTGGGCCTACATTTTACTTGCTATTGACTAGAAGTGGGACATACTTATCCCCCTCAATCCAAGCCTTTGTATGTTGGTATCTCTGTAATATCTTTTTCATATGCACAAAAGACCATTAATAATTTAGCTAAGGCTGCTTTTCGGAGAACGACAGAATTAATGACAAGAAGCAAAGAATTTTCTATTTGAAGAGAAATACAGGCAGAAGAGGTTGAGTTTGATCACAGTTCCTGTTCATAGCAGACTGTGGAGTAGCTCAAAAGAGGGCAGAAAGCTGCGTGTGGTAGCCCACACCTATACTCTCAGAACCCAGGGGGCTGAGGCAGGAGGATCGCCATGAGTTCAAGGTCAGTCTGGGCTACATAGTGAGTTTCAGCCTAGCCTGGACTACATAGT